TAAAGTTGGAATTGCATACGCCATGGAACCAATTTTCACTGTCCTGTATGTTGTTAACATGAACGTTGTGTGGGAGAGTGTAATGTCGACGCTTAGAGCTCAGATTTTCAGGAGAGTTCTGATTCAGAAGGTCGGAACTTGAATCACCATGGTCACCAAGATTTTGTAAAATTTTGAAACTTGATCTTGAGCCATTCATAGTTTGTACTCATGGATTTTCTTTAACCTTTTTGTGTAAACCCAGGTGGAGTTTTTTGATCGGTACAAGGTATGTATCCCTGAACTGCTAACATTAGTAATTTTGTTGAGGTTCTTTTGTCTTCCGCCATGTTTTGAGGTTTTAATGCCAAGAGATTCTCGTTTTGGCATTGGTGTGCAGGTTGGTGAAATCAGTGCATTATTGACAAATGATTTAGGATCTCTTAAAGATGTTGTAAGTGAGAATGTTTCAAGGGATCGTGGGTTTAGGGCGCTTTCTGAGGCAAGCTACTCTATCCAAACCTGAGTGAGCTCAATTTCATATGTTCTGTTCTGTAGGTAGTTTTTGACTCTGATGAACTCTGCATCCTTCTGTCTGTTCTAAGTACATGTTGATCAGAGAAAAACGCTGTTCTCTCTTACCATCTATGAGATTCTGATTCCCATGGATTATGCTCCTTCCTAACTTGCTAATATTTATTTATTTTCTCCCTCCTATTCTATGTCTGTAGATCATTGGGACAGTTTCCATCTTATTCGCCTTGGCTCCCCAGCTGGCTCCAATATTGGGCGCCCTGATGCTTTCAATTTCTGTTTTAGTTGGTAAATCCCCCTTACATCTATGTGCTCATTGCAAGGTTTAAATGTTTACGTAAATCTCAGCATGGTACTGGTGATAGTTTGGCATACTTCATTGAAACCTACATGTGTAGTGAGAAGGGGTAGAAGTTTTGTGCTCCTCTAGTCTTGTTGGTTCCTCTAGTATCCCTATGCAAAATACTGTTGCTTATTTCATTCTTTATTCTTTTTTCCCCATTGCTGATTGGTGTCGTTGATTTGAAGCTGTGTACAAGCGATCCACTGTTCCAGTTTTCAGAGCTCATGGAATGGCCCAAGCGTCAATGTCTGATTGTGTATCAGAAACTTTTTCTGCTATTCGTACTGTAAGAGCTCAACATGCTCTGCTACTTCGCTAACTATTGATCTGCTGCAGTTCATGATATATTGGTTCCGAAAGAGCATCAATAATACTTCATCAATATATTTCCTTTCCCTTACTCTTTCATATGTTGATGTAATCAATTAGAAGATATGTGTCTGTGTTAAGTTTCTATTACTTTTGGTTTTGCAGGTAAGATCTTTTAGTGGTGAACATCGCCAAATGTCAATGTTTGGTAACCAGGTAAGATGGGTGCTTAGACATCTGATGTTGTGGACATCATATCACTATGAAACTGTTGCAATTTTGTCTTTCATTAATCACAAGGAATATGGCAGGTTCTTGCTTACCGACGTAGTGGGATCAGGCTTGGGATGTTTAAATCACTAAACGAATCAGTGACAAGAGTCGCTGTTTACATCTCTCTGATTGCTTTATATTGTCTTGGAGGAAGTAAAGTGAAGGCTGTAAGTGTTCTACATTCTTCCACCTTTTCCTTGCACTTCAAAACCTCGTGGCTGATTGTTTATACATATTTTTGGCAGGGTGAAATTTCTGTTGGGACTTTTGCTTCTTTTATTGGATACACTTTCACACTGACATTCGCTGTGAGTCCTTCTATTCTGGTTTGTTGATATCGGACTTTATGATTTCCTTCTTCATTATTAAACACTCTTTCGTATGTTAACTCTAGGTTCAAGGCCTAGTCAATACATCTGGGGATCTTCGTGCAAGTCTTGCTGCCGTTGAAAGAATAAATTCCGTGCTCTCTGGAGTAGAGGTAGATGAAACCCTTGCCTATGGTCTAGAAAAGGAAATCCAGGAAAAGGGACATCATGACGAGGCAATAAAATTGTTCTCGGATGATGATCATAGCGGGAAGAACTCCCGGACCGTGCATTACATGTCAGCTTTAATATCAACTAACAATCTATCTACTCTTGCTTGGTCTGCTGACATTTGTCTCGAAGGTACCTTTTTTATTGTTATCAATGTATAAATTCCATGTTTTGACTGAAGGTTCTTACTATCTTGTAACCGGGGATTATTGCAGATGTGCATTTCTCCTATCCCTTGAGACCTGATGTAGAAATTTTAAGTGGCCTCGATTTGACCCTGAAGTGTGGAACCGTGACTGCTCTAGTTGGGCCAAGCGGTGCAGGCAAAAGCACTATAGTACAGCTACTATCACGATTCTATGAGGTACGGTTTCTTCTCCCTGCTATTGCTCTTTGTATAGATGATACGTTTTCTGTCACTCTATCACTGAATTATCTTCATCAACATCTTTTTTTGCAGCCAACCAAAGGTCGAATAACACTCTCTGGGGAAGATATCAGGACATTTGAAAAGACAGAGTGGGCTCGTGTGGTCTCCATAGTAAACCAAGTAATGCATTTTTATCAGTTCAGTGAAAGCTGGGAAACAGTTAAATCGAAGAGGGACGATCTAGAATGCTAATGCTAAGTTACCAATACTAAAAGCATTTGCTCATGTATACAGGAACCAGTTCTTTTTTCGGTTTCAGTTGGAGAGAACATTGCATATGGGCTTCCTGATGAAAATGTGTCCAAAGATGACATCATAAAGGCTGCCAAAGCTGCAAATGCACACGAGTTCATAGTTTCACTGCCACAGGTTAGATATTATCGTTCTGAAATCTGTTTTTTAGTTTCATGCCTGTATATCTTTTCTTTCTTTTTCCTAAGACTTCATTTGCATCTCAAAAGGGTTACGACACTCTAGTTGGTGAGCGCGGAGGCTTGCTGAGTGGAGGGCAGAGGCAGGTATGTAAACACAACTTATCAATCACAAGCAATAGAAGCTCGAGTTTAATGGATTGGCTTAAACTGCATATTTTTAACTGGTTTTCAATTGTCTAGAGGATTGCTATTGCAAGAGCGCTGCTCAAGAATGCCCCAATCCTTATCCTTGATGAGGTAACCAATGGCTGTTTATAAGCTTCATCATTTGTGTGCACTCCTCATAAGTAACTAGAAAACTATTTTTGTGCAGGCAACCAGTGCACTAGATGCAGTTAGCGAACGGCTAGTCCAGGGAGCACTCAATCATCTGATGAAAGGGAGGACGACAATGGTAATTGCTCACAGATTAAGTACAGTTCAGAATGCTCATCAGATTGCAGTTGTTACTGATGGGAGGATTGCAGAACTCGGAACCCATTTACAGTTGCTGGCCGAAAAGGGTAAATATGATACACTAGTCGGCACTCAAAGACTGGCTTTTGAATGACTCAACCATCCTTTTTGCCTTTTTTTTCCATAGAATAATAGGACCACAGCCTCGTGTAAATCAACAATGATAAGTTTTGAATATACAAAAGTTTTCTCCTCCATACTCTTGCTGTCTTGCTTGTGGTAGTTTGGTAACTGAGGATTGTTCCTAGTGACTCTCCAGAATACATAGTTTCTTCCTATTCGGAAATTGAAATTACCGCATTGAGTATGGCCAGACATTCAGTTGGGAGACTGAGAAAAGTGTTCATGAAAACATCATCAATTGGATCAACTGAAGCCACCCCAACCAATCTGCATTTCCCTACTTTATCCAACCTCTCCCCTACTCCATTGCGGATGCTTCCTCTCGATTCCTCTGAAGTTAGCACCGTCTTCACCAGCAGCGGAGGAGCTCTGAAGAAACTCCCAGCAGAGAACCAGAAATTGGCAACAAATTCAAGTTCCACCTTACCTGAATCTGGAGCAATCCTGCCCTGAAATGATTCAGGGACTATATCAATCTTCAGGCCCGGCGGCAATGGCAACCCCAAAATCCTGGTGGTCTCGCTCGTCAGTGGTGGAATGTACAGATTTTGCAGGTCGAATGATACTGAAATATGGTCACCATCTTTAGTCCCAATCCCAGTTCCTGTGCCACCTTTGGCATTATAGTCGAAATCAGGATATCTGGAGATGCCAAGCTTGCAAGCTTCCAGAGTTTTGAAGCTGATACTGTAAGCATCGGAATTCGGAAGCTTGGTTGTGCGGCTGGATGCTTGCTGTTTTGGGCTTGAAGAAGCGAAAGAGGAAACTGCTGTAATTCTGAAACTGGGTCTTAAAGTGGAGGACTTGAACACCATTGGAGGGTTTAAAGCGTTGATCTTACAAGTACAACCCATCTGTCAGTTTTTTTTTTCCGAGTGCTGAAGGTAAAAACTGGAAATGGAGGGTATTGGAGTTCTTGGTGGATGACATGATGATATGAGTGGATTAGATAAGAGACAAAAATTGGTGGCTACCATTGAACTGCAATATTCGAGTCCCATAAAGAATTGTGACATGGGCGTTGCGTAGAGCTGATGTCACATTTGAACATGCTGCTGTCGTATATTCAACCTATCTAGTGGTTTGACTTGGTCGGAATTGAATACCATCTTCTATTATAGACTTTAAATCTTGCACAATGAGAGTTCTCAAGTCATTCAAGGAATCTCTCCTGAATTTGTCAAGTCTTCACCAAAACAAATAACAAAGTCAAAATAGCTTGCAACTGTTCAAGTTGGCTAATGGATTGCCCTTTCACATGCGCAATAATGCCAATCTGGCACCTACTTTTCTTTGCCATGGCTATAGCTGGGGGAGTTAGGTTGGTCATGTTATTCAGTTGCCAAAATGGTAGGGGCCAAAGGAGAAAGAAAGAAACTTTACAGGGAACCCATTCCAGGGAGGGGATACCCTCTTTTCTTTTAGCAAAAATGGAATCCAACTAGTTCTAGCTTTCATTCTTTAGTCCTTGCCCCACAAAGCAAATAGACAACAATTCCTCCCAACATCTCCATTTCCCCCGACCTCCTGGGCTATATCCCAATTCCATTTGACCCTGGCTGTTCCCTGCCCTTTGAAGAAAGGGTATAACAATTTAAGGGTCAGTGGACCACACAACTAGCCGTTTGAAAGAAAAGGTTTGGAAATCCACAAAAGAAGATGCTCCTCTAGCCTTGATAGTAACACACAACTCCATTCCAACAAAAAGATGCAGAATCTATACACAAGGCCAAACCATGAAACACCTCCACTCACCCTTACCCTAAACTCAACTGAACATGAACTTCCATGGGACAAACATTATTTGGCACACCACCCTGAACTAGGAGGACTTCTCATGGCTGCAACATAACCTCGCCCAGGCAAGAAATGCATGACACACAACACTCTCTCAGACTCCCCGCTATGAAAGATGATACACTTAGATGTTACAATTCTCACGGATGCTTACATAAGTTTTTTGCGGAGGCGAGCACTCCATATGTGGGTTTTTAGTACTGTCAGCAGGCGTCAGCGCAGCTACTCTCTTTCAGCACACGAGGGACGACCTGAGAGATGACGCAGTAGGAAGATTCGTGCAGGATGCCCAGCGGATCACCGATTCGGTTACCATTAGATCAAGCTGCTCACGCTCCCCAAGACCAATAGTCCGGTACCTCTTGCTGTGCATTCCCAGCACCCTCGGCCCAATTGTCCCCCCTGCACGCTTAAACTCGGACGATATCCTGTGCTGTTCTGAAGCTCCTCCAGCTTCAAATAAAGAAGAAGACTCGGTCTGTGCAAGCACTGCATCTCCTCTGCAACTGTTGCTTCCTTGGTGTTTGATCGTGGGGTCGGGACTGAAGAATGCAAAGCTTGGCATCGAGGACATAGGTGAAGCAAACTCCAAAGGTGCAGACTCACCATCGCTTCGAAATGAAAATCCACCTGATAGAATGCAAGGTGTAGATGGTTGTGCTACCATAGAAGAGAACGATGACCTACTCATTGAAGTCGGTGACTGAACCTCCTCACATATAATATGTGATCCTGTGCCAAAGCTGATGTCCTGATTCCTCGTTATCATCCTCGAGAATGAAGTGCAACCCAAACTCAACTCTCCACAACTTTCTTTCGCGTGCTGACATGTATCTTCGAGGCTCGGTCTTTGGTCATTCATCCACGGGTGATCTACCAAAATAAAGAACTGTGTGATCAAATACTCAGCTCAAGACTCACAAAACATTCAAATTTCAGCAGAAACACATGACCATTATAACCGCACCTAACACCTGCTGAGCAGTCAGTCTCTGCACGGGATCCACGCACAACATCCCCTTAACTAATTCTCTCGCCGATTTGGCAACTCTATCCCAAGGATTAGAAGGGAACCGAAGATCTGCCGCCCTAACAGCGTGAAAAATCTGTGACTTAGTCTTGCCCCAGAAAGGGGGCATCCCACTGAGAAGAATGTAGAGGATAACCCCGGCACTCCATATATCAGCACTCTGATTATATCCTCCTGAGAGCACCTCTGGAGCTATGTAAAATGGGCTTCCAACTGTTCCTTTCAGATTCTGACCTGATTGAACCATCAAAGAAGCAAAAAGCTTCAGAGAAACAGTAATTTTAAACGAAAAAAACAGTTGAATGCAACAACTTTGGGGGGGGAAAGGAAGTATACCAGGCTGGACATATGTTGCAAGACCGAAATCAGCCAGTTTAATCTGTGAAGAAGAGGAATTTGTTGCCAAGAGGATGTTCTCTGGTTTCAGATCTCTATGAACAACTCCAATTTCATGGCAATGCAATACCACTTGCATTAGATCTCGGAAAAGAACTTTAGCTTCGGACTCACAGAACCGCCCATGCTTCTCTAACAGATGAAAAAGCTCCCCACCAACACAAAGTTCCATCACCAAGTGGATGAAATCTTCATCTTCATAAACTGCCTTGAGATGAACAACATTTGGATGACCAGATAACTTGGTCATTATCTCGATCTCAAGCTTGACACTTCTCGTGTCATCTGATGTCACCAATCTATCCTTGGCGATTGATTTGCAGGCGAACAGCTCCCCTGTAGACTTCTCTGTGCAGACTCTAATGACACCAAATTGTCCCCAGCCCAATTGCTCCCCAAGAACGTACTTTTCTGTCAAGCTTGAGGTCTGCTCCGTCTCCAAAATGGGTTCAGATAAGTTTGAAACAATGTAGCAATTGCAGGGTTGCTTGGATGGCTCAGCGTTGAAGAAGTTGAAGGTGTTGCCTTCAGCAACAGCCATTCCAAAACCCCACCAAGAGATGCCAATTATGAATCCCTCTCAAAACTCACCAAAATTTCCGGGGCTTAATTTCCAGCTCGGGTCTCAGTATTATAACAACCGAGACCAGCTAGAATTCTGGAACTTGAAAAGTCAAAAGTCCCGAACTTTGCTGTCAAACCCTAGAAATATGCTCTTCTTTGTCCACGAAGGTCGGATGTGATGATGACGACGCCTGCCGTAAACAGGCAGGGATACAATAACCAGGAAAGTGGGGAAAAGCGGAAACCCCCTCCAACCAGTGTCGAAAGCTTCACACTTGAGGATAAATCAGCTGGATCTGCAGAGATTACATCATAACGAAGCCAAATCAGAACCGAAGAAAGCGCCAAAAGTTTTCGTTTTCTACAGTCAGAACAAAAAACAGGCCTAGTACTACTCGAGACTCAACACGTTTTCTCATTCAAAACACTTCCCCCTTTCAATATTACTCCGAAGGAGCAAGCTTTCAAGTTCAAATAAGCGAAGAAACTAAGAGACATAGAGAAACAGACGAGAATCGGCATCAGAAACCCCATCAGCTGAAAACTTCCCAAAAGAGAGGAAGTAAAATTGCCAAAATTGAGAACCCAACCCATCAAATTCTAGCCACCCATGAAGCAACCCAGAGATGATAGGTACATTAAAAGCAACCCATTGTTATAGAGAGAGAGAGTGGGAAGGAGGGAAAGGGACCTGTGGGTAGAAGGGAACAGAGATTCAGAATGAGGGAAACAGAGGAATGGCGGTGAAAGGAATTGAGCAGCCAGAGAGAGAGAGAGAGAGCCAGGCGGAGAAGAGAAGGCAGGGGGTGGCCTCGCCTGCCTGCGTCTCTCTGTCGCTGAGCTGTGGGTGGGATTCTCTGATTCTCTCTCTCTCTTTCCTTATAATCTGTTGGCTGGTTCCTCTGTTTCCGAGTTGGGGGAGAAGGGAAAACTCGGAAAAGAAGCCCCGAGTTCCGTTGTGTTGTTATTTTAACTTATTATATTCGGACGGAGTTGTCTGGCTGTCGTTTTCTATTTTATTAAATAATTATTTGTTTTCCATTTTTGGGGTTTCTGGTTTGAAATGGGGAGTGGAGGAGGAGGAGGAGCGAGGAGGTTGGGGGAAGCAAGTGCAAGTTTGGGGCTTGCTCTGTAATAATTGCTTCCTTCAACTTCGGACGTGAAAGCCCACTTGGATTCTGTTCAATTACTTTTGGCCAAGCTTGCTTGCTTTGCTTTGGTGCCCCCACTTGATCAACCCCTCTTTTCTAGCCTGGATCCACTCTTTACATTGCTCAATTTGTGTTTCAATTGCAATTTTACTCTTCTCGAGACAATTTGGACATTCTCCAATGTCAAATTGCCCTATTCTGATTAGACCACTGAAATATTCGTGGTCTGAATTGAATATTTGTCAAATATGATATTTGGAATCAATTATCACGTGAAAACTAGGGATGGCAACAAAACTCGAACTCACGGGTACTATACTCGATCCAATTTGGTCAACGCGGGTAAAATTAAAATTGACGGGTTTCGGGCCGGGTTTGGATTTCAACTCACACACTATTCACTGGGTTGGGTTGGATTTGGGTTTAGGGGTACCTGGCCCATAGATACCCGCCCACACTTATTTCGTCGCACTACTCTCCCCAAACCCTACCCTAATTCTAATTTCCTCCAATCTAACTCTCGCTACACTTATTTCGTCTGATTTTATTAAGGGGTCGTTTGGATTCATATTTCTGGATAGGGATTTGGGCCAAAACCCGGCCCGTCCCGGATTTTAACAAATTATGTTGTTTGGGTCTGTGCCCAATAACGCGAGATTTGGTTCATGCGGGTTTTGGAAATCCGGTCCATCCCGGAATTGGAAATAACTGGCCTCCCCCAGGTATTTTGAAATCCGATCCAACTTTTATTGTATGTCGATCGTGTCCTTGACTATTCTCTGCCAACTCTCGATCTACCTTGCCCTTCTCTTATTCCCACCCTTCCCTGCGCTCCTCCTTCTCTTCCGTCTTTTATTCTTCGGCCTCATCAACCTTGCCGGACTCGGTGACTCGCTCCTACCGTCACTCTAGAAAATGGCCAAGTGTAACCACCTTCTAAAGCGTAGTATAGCGGGTTTGGGTTTTAATGTCAACCCGGGTCCTAAGTGTGATGACTACTCTGTGAGTTCTTATTATTTAGCGGTGAAACTTTAGTGAAGGTCCAAACAAGCAAACAAGCAAAGCAAATAAAAAGAGTGTTTTCAAGTCGAGAGAGGTCACCCGGATATGGTTCCCCCTAGACTGCAGTTAAGCCGGATTGTAATTTACCAAGTTCGATTCCAATGATAGTTATACTGCGGGAGGTTCTTAAACAGTCTGCAGTCTCGACTAAAGGTCTCCAGACCCTCTCAATCTGAGTCCCCATCGGGCGACTAACCTCCACCGGAGTAAACATATTGAGGCCCTAACGAACCAAACCTCCACTACCGAAGTAAATTCGGTACAGAATAGTGAATTGACTCCTCGAATAAAGTCGTCAATTCACTACCTTCAATCAAGGATTCTCTATCAACCTAGGCAAGTATTCTCATTCTAGGTCAAAGCAGAAATAACAGGAATTTGATCAGGATTCATGCCATACAACAATTCAAACCTCAATTGAATATAATCAAATCATAGAATCTGTACTTGGGTTCATACAATCAGACCTAACATACAAATCTAGGGTTCTTCATACCCAGGTGAATAGGAAAGTTACTCCATAGAGAGAGATGGGAAATCTAGCTCAGATGCGGAAATCATACTGTGAAGGATGATAATCTGCTTCTGGCACTCAATCAGATCTTCTCCAAGCTCAAGCCGGGCTCCAATGGTGATGGAGATCGATCAAGGACACTTGCAGAATCAGGTTCGTCACTTTCTCTCTCTAGGTAGCGCTTTTTCTCTCTAAAACTCGGAACCCCTCAATTTTGCCCTTCTTTTCCCTCAAGAAGTTGTCTGTCGCGATCCCCGGTCTGCATACCCAGTCGGGTATTTTGGGTGGCGCTCGGATATATTCAAAACGCGCCGTGTGAGACAGGGTAAAATTCCCGGTCAAGGCCAGGAATCCCCGACCGGGGATTTAAGCTTCACGGCCGGGGCCTCCTCTGCTTCTCAACGTCCAAAATGCCAATTCCCCGGTCTGATCCAAATAATACCCGGCCGGGTATTTCTGCTCATGGCCGGGTATTTTGCTCCTCCAACACACTTCGACCCAAACGTGCTCCTTTGGACCAGAAACTCGTTTCTTCGCCTCGATTCCAACGTCAAGCCCTGAAATATGACATAAACGCACAACCTCACGCGAAATTGGCTTAAAAACGAGAATCAACATCTCAAACGACTCAAGAATAGGGGTAAAAACATGTGCAATCGATGGTCTATCACTCGGCCTTGCCAAAGTTTCTTCCGTCATCAACAAATCTGGAAAGAAACGAGGTTTTCGTTAGAGAACGCTCGGATCTGTAAAGAAACAAGCGGTGAGCGGGTGGGAGCTCAAATTTAATGTTTGGTTGTTCTCATTCGTCAATTTGATTTTGGGTTTTGGGTTCTAATTCGTCGACTTGGGATTGAAGGGTTCAAGGATTGGATTTCTTCCTCGTCGCACTTGGTTTCTCTGTGTCTCGAAGGTCATGGGATTTAGTTCCATCAGGAAGCAAGAGCTTCTCGAATGGTTATGCTTTGAAATCCGCCGAACAATCGCATCAACTTCAAGGAACCAATCGTTGGCAAAGCTCGACGACCCTAGCCCTGTTTGGGATGCTGGTTACCGTCGTTGATTACATGGTCTGCGATTTCGACAAAGGGAGGAAGAAGACGAGTACGACATAGAAGGGGTTAGGGATTATGTTGGGTCTGTGAGTAAAATAAGGAAAAGGACAAAACTTTAATTTTATATTTGTAACTAAAACTTAAATTCTTTGATGACAATTCTGGACAATTAAACAAACAAGTATTTTATTTAAATCCTGCGTTTTAATTCTCATGGTTTTAAATTGAGGAATTTAGATTCAAATCCTTCAATATTCCAATCCCTTATCGACCTCTTAGTGTAATTGTGATATATTTGAATTTTCTAGAATGGTGTTTTATGTATGGATAATTTGTATGGGGAAATTGATGTTTGAATTTTATTTTGATATGAACTTGTTATTGTAAATTTTTTACCACAAAAACTCATGGGTGCCTATGAACCCGCAGATACCCAACAGGTTGTGTTGGGTTTGAGTTTTTCAAACCCAGTGGGTTTTACGCCAGTTTTATTTATGGATAAACCCATCTGTTTGGGTTTGGCAAAACCCGACCCATTGCCATCCCTAGTGAAAGCCCACTAAGAAGACCAAGATGGTCCTGAACCAGAATCAGTGGTCGGAGCTTCAATCTCCTGATAGATTCAGAACCCCTCAAGGCCTCAACGAGTTCTGCCGCATGCAAAGCCCATACTCGGAGCGTCTTCCTCACTAATTTCTTCTTCTCCAACGCCGATCTTCCCCTGCCTCCGTCATTGGTTTATTCCAGCATGTGCGCCGCATGCATGTGGTTGTCTGCGTTGCAATTGAAGAGAAGGGAAGAGAAGAGCTACGTCGCTTATGCTAGCGTTGGCATGGCGAAAACGAGTTCCTCTTTTCTTCCTTGTCGTGTTTTGTCTCTATTCTTCCTTCCTTAGGGTTAGCCAGTAAGGAGCGTTTCAAGAGTGTGTTTGGGTGGGCTTCGGCCTGTGAGGGTTGAGGGAGTGTGTTCGGGTGGGCTATGATGGTAGAGGGAGAGAAGTTTGGGCCAAGTGAGTGGGCTAGTTTTAGATGTTCGGTTTTTCATGTCGAATTTCGGAAACTCGATTCGGTCGACAAAACCCTGGTTTCTGAACTAAGCACATTTCCTTTCCGAATTTCGAATCGAACAACTTTTCTTCGATTTTGGTTTGGTCCTGGTTGGTTTTGGCGCAATTCGAATTTTACCGAACCGAATACCCACCCCTAGAGTGAAGTTGAAAGTAATAACGTGTCATGTTTTTAATTGCACCACCGTTGCAGGTCGCTCGAGCTAGTCTCGATCATCTACTTATCGACCCCCTAGTCAATACCGACAAAATTGAGTAGAAAAAATCTCGATGGATTTGGGAAGACGAACCACACCAACTATTTAACAGTTGAACATCAAAATCGATAGACACATAAGACATATTTAACAGAATTAGACGACCAGTATAGTACCTAAAGATGAAATAAGATATAAGATTTTTTTTTTGAAAAAAGATAATCATATTGATTTTATAATAGAGACAGTTACATCCTGGAGTTCATCCAGGTCTGAAAATCAAAGAACCGACTCGTAGTTGGGTACAAAGAAAGGGCCTTTCGAGCCACCATATGGGCTACCCTATTGTTACTCCGACCTACAAATCTAACAGAAAACCCAGAATGAGCAGCAAAATAATGAATGACTTCTTCAATAACAGCCCCATCCGGTTATCCCTGGATCTGCCTAATTAATTTTATCAATGACCACAAAATTGCCTCCCCGAGCGTGAGTAATTCCACCACTACGGGATCATCAATCAACGGGAACTGGGTTCCCTTAACAAAAAGAACATCCCTAGTCGGTCTCGGGATCACTATCCCGCAGACCGAATGCAACCCACTTTTAGTAGCCCCATTCCACATACACGCAACCGAATCATCCGCAACTGGAAGCTGGTGCTGTGACACTGGGAAGGAGGACCGGGGGGATGGCTCCATCGGCAGGTGAACCCACTCCTCATACTTTTGATGGAATTGATGCATCAGGGCTGGTAGCCCAAACTGTTTACCCTCGAAGGCAACCCAATTCCGAGATCGCCAGATCCTCCAAAGGATGGCAACAACTGCCATGAAAAGAGGAGGTTGACTTAATAGAGGCACCT